CAGCACATCTCTGAGACAAAGGAGCCACAGCAGGCTCTTTTACCAGCTGCTGCAGGGACAGCGATCTGCTGCAGATACAGTTTCAATTTCTTGTTTTAAACCTGATATAAAAAAGCAAACTACTTCACTAAGTATCATTTTCGCATCTAAGAAAACACCACTTATGTAACTTTCATTGCACTCAATAAATGACACAGGTTTCAGAGCGCTACTGATATAATTTGTTTATCATTTCTGTCTTTTGCAGCACACACAAAACATTCTTTGGAGGTTTGGTTGGTTGGGTGGGCTTTTCGGAGGGTGTGTGATTTTTAGGCCAGAGAGATGTTGGTACACTAATGCAAAAAACTAGCCAAAGGACTCAGGAAAAGCTAAAATACACTCAACTGTCTTAAAAATTAGTATCTTTTTGGAGAAAAAATGAGGATCATTTGCTTAATCCAAGCACAGTTAACACCACAAAATCAAATTAATTTAAATTTTTACTCCTAGCAAACACCAGAAAAGAGATTACATCTTTTTAATTATCTTATTAACACTATCAAACAAAATAGCAAAATCACATAGAACTCAAACCTTCAGACTTAAACTGATGTTTCCTAAGAAAAGGTTTTGACTAGCAGATATTCAGCAATTTTTAATTTAAAATCCAAAATCCAGGCTAATAAGAGAACTGAATGTATCCTCCTTAAATCTAATCTACACAATTCTAATTTTACAAAAATTAAAATTCCAAGTATGAAAATGTTAATCTCTAGCAGCACTACATTTGATTGTAATTTGAAGATCTGGGCTTTTGGTCCTGCAGAGTAATTCAGTTATTACTTTATAATCTAGTGAAAAAGATAAGAAATACCCAGAAAGGCAATGTAAGAATGCACATGCCATAAGAAGTGGATTGTCTATTTCTTCCTCATCGATCTTGGGGTCAGACTGAAAACTGTGAAGTGGCAATGAAGAGCTCACTTCACACTCCAATCAGTGAAAATATTTCCCAGAGCATTCTTCATTGCAGATCATAAATACTCATAACCAAAAGACTGTTTATTTTTAATTGGATATTAGCCATTTCCCCCTTCCTCATGTAACTGTAGAGATAGCAGTGTCTCATAAACCACACAAATGGAATTGCATTTATCATCCAATAGTCACAGTAAACTTGGCCAAGAGTAATTGCAGTGTGAGACAAAGTAGGGTGCCAAGAGAGGCCTAATTGCATCACCCTACCAAGTCTTTGTTTGAAGGTGCATAAGCTGAGAAAGGAGAAACTGGTTCAATTCTCACATTTCAAAGAGAAATTCATCAAGTTATGTTCGTCTGATCTACTGAGAATCTCTGTGACCAGCAGCTGTAACATTCTATGGCACGAACTGGGACACTGCATACAACCAGCACAGACTTTAGTGTGCTGTTAGCCAGATTCTTTCAACCTACACATCTGGACACTGAATTCTGGCATGTCAGCACATCAATAAAACTTCTGTGAACACTTTAACTGCTACAAACTTGAAGTAATTTATTTTGTATTGTAAGTAGCAAACTGCAATAGTTTTCTAATTCTGAAATTCTTCAAAATAAAGACAGAAATTTTGAATATGTACCTGCATATATAATACTATAATAATTATAGATGTGTGCACATATATATACAGACTTAAAAGGAACTCCAAAATTTTACAAATTAAAGGTTTTCAAAAGCCTAGAGAAAACTGGTTTTGTGCTACTTCAGTGGATTACAAGTCCTGAAGGAAAAACAGCCTCTGTTCCCAAACAAGCACATATGAACAGCTGGTCCAGAGAGCAAAGACCTGCTGTTGTCACCAGCCCACTGCTGAGCTCCTTGGGTTTTGTCTCCTGCTCAGGCCATTCTCTCCTCCCTTTGCTCTTCCACCTTCACATTTCCTTCTTTCCCCCATGAGCAATTCCATATTATATACATACATGAACCATTTTTACAGTTATTTAGGTTGGAGGACATTAATACCCATGAGAATTTTGTCTGGCCATTTAATGAAAAGTGACAGCACCAGAGTGAAAGTGTTGTATTAAAAAAAAAAAAAAAAAAAAAAAGCACAGTCAACCATCTGCTGAAAGATTCTCTTGTTTGACCAATTTTTAATTGGTGAGAATGGAAGTGAGGTGACATAGAAACAGGATGTGAAGGCATGGGATTCATATGATCTTGCAAAAAAATTTACACCAAACTGGGGGAGGGGAAGAGCTAAGCACAATCATGATGAATCAGAGGATCAAACTATTGGTAGTAAGAAGACCCAAGAAGACAAACCATAGAACTGTACCATTTATCAGTTTAAGGAAAATAGTCTAAGATTGATTCCAACACAAAAAAAAAAAGCCATGTACATGTCTACTGCTTGTTTCAATTAAAGTTTTGACCAGTTGAAAAGTTAGAATAGAATATTCAAACCACTGTAATTTTAAGAAGACATTTACCCAGCCCTGAGCAAGCTGTTCTTTTCCCCACATACAGATGAGCTGAGGGCTGACCCATCCTGGCTACCTTTCCCTCAGTTCTCAGTGTGCATCCCACTTTCTCTCAGTGTGCATCCCACTTTCTATATGTGCACACAAACCAATGCCCAAAACTCCCATGTACACTCAATAAAATCCTTATAAAGTAACAGCCATAAGTAATGGCCCGGTGAAATGGAGCCCCAGATACTGCTCAGGACCTTTCAGCAGTGCTGTTACAATATGAAAGCAACCTTTTAGAAGTCCCTCTATCCCCAGTAATCATGTCACACACCACTGGTATGAGGCTGCCAGCCCTGGAGCTCTGCATGCCCAGAAGCCCCTGTGACAATCACACAAACACAACCAAACATTCACACACAGCAAATGTCCATGAGAAACACAGGCCTGATGTCTCCTGAACCAATGCTGGAGCTCAAGTTCCTGCAGCAACTTCTCTGTAGGTGGATCAATCTGCCCAAAGAGGGGCCACTGCAGGATCTGAGCCAAAATGATGTACCCTGAGTATTAATTTACCATATATTTCAAATATGCTAATGGCAGTAACATGTAAATATACTACATGAACCCTGCCCATTAACAGAGAGCTCATCCACTCCACAGAGCCATTAGCATTACTTCTAAGATTACAGGATTTTAGTTTTTATTCATGCCTTAAAAATATAGCAGCTAATAATTAATTAATTCTAGTCACAGAAAAACAGTATGGGCTGGAACGCTCCTGCTACTATGGTATAAGTGTAACCAACCCTGAAAGTATTTTTAGCAAGGGTGTTCATCAATACTATTATGTACAACCTAAATTAAACATTAACAGGACATGAGAATTGTAAAGCATGGCAACAAACAATACATTCCACAGACAATTTTGCTGAACAAGAAGTAACAATTGAAGTAAACTCTAAACAGGTAAATCTGATTCCAAACAAATTTAACTGCAAACAAAAGGAAAATATACTGAAAGGTAAATTTAAGACATTTCTGCTTGTGAGGAATATGCATTTGTATTTCAATCTGACTTTGGAAAACTAAAATAAAAAACACACACACATAATCTAAAAATACAAAGAAACTGTAATGACAACAAAATTATAGCAAAAAAAATTGGACCAACAGTACACTTCTGAGTTTATAAACTTCCGAGTTTCCCTTGCCTGGGAAACATATTGACACATGTGTACATATCTGTAAGCTTATCACCCAGAATCATCTTTTATCAACATGGTGCAAGCCAGAGTCATGCCAATATGTAAAAACAACTTTTTAGGTCAGTGAAGCAAGAAATCCATTGTCAAGAAAATGGCATCCATAAGATTACAATACTGAATATATTATGTTCAAGCAATGAACTGGAAAACTTTCCTACAATATACATATCTAATAAAAAATGGGTTTACCAATTCTAATGAAACTCACTCCTGTATTCCTGCAATGCACATTTACAATGTGATAAGCACACAATGTCTGCATGCGTGTGAACACGTCGGTGGCTCCCAACATTACAGAGCACTTATTTGCCAAAACAAGCAGGCAAACGTGTACTCACAAAACCCCCTTACCACTGAACTCTGAGTTTGGCTCAGGGCAAGACAAATGCCCCGTGGGTGAGAAAATATATGTGCACACTGCAGTCTAACAATTATTCTTCAGCAGAGATCCATTAGCACTTCTGTAATACACAAGTCACACAAATATTTTCCATCTCACAGTTCAAAAAATTGTAACAGCTTGGCCACACTGAAGTCCTGGATGGGTGTAAATAACAGCATAAAGTTCATTAACGTGCATTTTAAATCTGAACGATGTATATATCCTCCGAACAGACCAGAGGTGGGAACATCTCACGTACACTGGCAGCTATCTAGTTTTAGCTACTAGCCCTTGGAGATTTTTGAAAGGAAAAAGACGTTATGCCTCTTCCAGCCGGTGCTGCAACAGCATGCACGAATTAACCCATCACCAGGTACACGAAAAGCCTCTGTCGCATATAGACACAGCGATTATACAAGCCTTCTGCTCGAGGGAGACACTAAAAATGTACCAGAGGAATGCAACGACAGCACTCAAACCTATTTTCCCTGCCCATAACCAGGGCAACGCGCACATGTGCCTAGAAAGCACAGGATCGCAAAGTTTTTTATTAAACACGCTAAAATAAAAACCCGTTTCAGGCGTTCGGCGGAGTTCACTGCATTTTAGAGACCCCGACCTGCCCCCGCAGCTCGTTCCCCTCGAGGCTATTTACGACTCCCCCCCCCCCCAGCCCCTTCGCCAGAGGGGAGCCGCTCTCCCGTTTTTTCGGAGGGGGAAACCGGAGGGAGAGCACGCACACAGGGCCCCCACCACCACCCAAAAGGGCTCAGGGCAGAGCCGCTCTCCGCCCGCGGCGACCTGAGCGCGAACTTGCGGGAGGGGGAGCGGGTGGGGGTTAGAGCACAGAGACGCGGCTCGCAGCACCCCTCGTCCCCGCAGCCCGGAGCCCCGAGCGCGCCGGCGGCCGCCTTTACCTTCATGTAACATCCGCGTCCTGGTCCCAGCCGGAGCGCGGAGCGGAGAGGCGCGGGGGCTGCGCGCTCGCGCCGCTGCCGCCCCGCGCGACCCCCGACCCGCCTCCGCGGGCGCGCGCGCACGGGCACGCGCGCCGCAGACGCTCGGGCACGCGCAGCGCCCGCACCTCCTCCCCCCGCCCCTCGCGGGATCGGGATCGAGAACCGGGAGCGGAGGCGCCGCTCGCCGCCCCCCGCCCTCAGTTTTCCCGCAGCGCCCGCCGCAGCCGCAGCCCCGGGAGCAGCGACGGCAGCCGCCCCGCGCCCCGCCGCAGCGGCGAGCGCCGCATCCTACTGCAGCGACCGGGCCGAGGGAGCGGGGGGAGGAGAGGGAAAAAGAGTCGGGGGAGAAGAGGACGGAGGAGCCCCGGGGGGAAGGCGGAGGACGCCCCCACCCTCCGGCCTCTCCTTCCCCCCCTCTCCTCACAGCGACCGGCCGGAGGGGCCGCACGGGCCGGGGCTCTGCCTCACGGGGCGCGGCACTGCCTCGCACGGACCGTCGGCTGCCCCGCGCGCAGCCCCGGCCGGGAGGCAAAGGGGACCGAGGGGAGGTGAAGCGCCGGGGCGCTGCGGAGGCGCCTTCCCTGCCGGCGAGCGAGCGAGCGCCCGTGGGGGAGGAGGGGGGAGGACCTGCAGCCTCCTCCCCTCATCGCCGCCCTCCCGCCCGCCTCACGCGGGCAGCATAGCAACCAACATGGCGGCTGCGCAGTCACCCGGCGGAGGGCGGCCCCGAGAGCTCGCGAGAACCGGTGGGGGCGGGCGCTGCGCTCGCCTTTCTATTGGTCCGCCTTGTGTCCATAAAAGGGAGGGGGCAGGACCGGGAGTGCAGCTGGCGATCTGATTGGCTGGGTTTACCACGGCTGAAGGCGGCGGGGAGCGCGGATTGGCCCGCTGAGCCGCCACTCACGCCTGTAGCGGTGCGCTCAGCCGCGCTCGCTGCCGCTGCTGGGCTGCCGCCGCTGTCCCGCCGCCCTCGCCTCGCCCGGCGGTCCTGCGGAGGGGCTGTGCCCGTCGAGCCGCTCCCTTCGGAGGGAAAAGTCTGCAACAGTGCAGCAGTGGGGTTGTTTTAATGTAACCCTCCGTCCTGGTCACATGGCCACCCAGCCTCACCCTGCCAATGTCCCTGAGGGTCATTCCTGCCTGCAGGTCCTTGCCGGAGCTTTCCACAGTATGAGGTGTACTGTGCCTCCTTGACCACATAAAGATTTTCATATGTGGCCCATGGGAAGGTTTGTGTTCAAAGACGTGGCTTAACACAACCCGGTCCTTTGATGTACTTATATTGTGTATGAAAGGGTTTGGTTAAAAATGTCTTTTTTTAATGCCCACTTATTAAAATACAACCTCTCACAACAAGCTCTTTACCTAGTAACAGGCACATAGAATATATAAAATCATTTAGGCTGGGAAGGACCCATAAGATTACCCAGTCCAATGTTTGGGAATGAGTTCTTGGATTTCACAGTTTAATTCCTAACCATAGCAAGATGTGGACTAATACTGAAGGAGTTTGCATGTTCTCTTCTAATCAGGAAGCTTTCTAAAATCTCATTCGTTTGATGTTTGCAAATCTTATATACATTTCCAGCCTAAATTGTTCTTGTGCCAGTTTTGTTCTTTTGCTTAAATAGTCCTTCCCTCTTAGCAATGTTTTCCCTCAATTACTCTTAATAAAGCAATCGTACCCCCTCCATGTTAATGGGCTAAATAATCCAAGGACTTGTAACCTCTCCCATTTCCTTAGTAAGTATTAGGATATACAGTATACTCCACATGACTTCTTTCAGGAACAAGTTGAATCGGGTGAGAAGACTGAATTTGGAGAAAGCAGTGAAGCAGAAATTTCAGATCACAATCTCTGGAGCAATTTTAAATAATAGATTTCTCAATGATAAATTTGTAGAAAACAGTTATAAATTGTAAAATTACATTTTATTGACAGAAGTCTAAAATATGACAAAGCTTGAAATGTAAATGATTCCCCTGGATTGAACAATTGCTAGACTGATACTTTCATAAAGCCCCAAAATAATACAAAGTGTCAGTAATGCCATTCCTTGTTGCACTCCTGTTTCTCCAGCTCTTCCTGAACATCTCTGTAGTTACATTGAGACTAATAGTGGTGCAAGTAGAGACATCCAGCAACTGTATCCTCCATTTGTGAGCTGCTGCCAGCCTCTCGAGCAAGGCATCTGTTCTTCTGCGCATTAAAGGCATCCTTGGCTGCAGAGTTGTCTTGGTTTCCTGGTAATTCTCTTTCAGTTCATGTTGAATTGCACACATACATTTCAATCCATTTGCACTTAAGATTCCAATTCTGTCTCTCACAATTTCATATAATTTTATTGTGCATTGTTTGTGTCAAAGCTACAGTTATGTTCAATCTGAGAAGAGCAATAATTGATACATTGCTTTCAACAGTGTATGATGGAGGAGCAACCCAAAGCACTCAATGTCGTGACCATAGAACTACACATCATTTTGGCAAATGCAACCTTGCAGTGTTACAAAGGGATTTGTTTTGCTGACCTAACACAAAATTTGTGACAAATACAGATGTTATATATACATTCCAAAGTTAATTCCTTGCAATACATTGTCTTTTCTGCATTTTGTTGTTTACAGAAGATTTTATTCAAAGCCCTAAATCAAGGCAGTGGAAGATTCCCACCATGTGCAGAGTACTTCAGGTCAGGCCTACATTGCAAGAGCACTAAACAGATATTGAGACAAAGCTCTCCAGCTTGTGCTCTTACAACAGCAATGGAGCAAAATTGCACTGCAGAATGTTTGAGTGCTGGTATTGCTCAGACAAATTCAGCAAAAAACTTACTTTTCAGAATTCTGGGTTACATGTTATATACCCTGAACAATCACTTCCCAAAATTATGAATGAAAGAGAGAAAGCAAACTGAAATGTCACTTTGTCATTATTTACTCGAAAGAGCACATTCCTTTCTCATGTAAAAAGTACATTCAGCTCAATTCTCTTTCAAGAGCATAGCTCTTTCATATAACAGTAAGTTTCTGGCTGTTGTTTGCCTGTGTGCATAAGCAATGGAAGCTGCATATTGTGAAAATATTTTGCATAGCAAGAGTTTAATTTTCAAACCAGTGTGTGGGGATTTATCTGTAACTCTGTTGATGCATTTTGGGGAGGATATGTTATCTCACTGCTTGTCATGTCCTGCTAGCAAAACACCAGTACCTTAAACCATTCTGTACAAGTTAAACCTCTTGTGTAAATATAGAAGCAAACAAAAGCTTCTCCTTTACCTAACAGATCCGTGGTTTGTGTTTGTGCCAACAACCTTATTACTCATGCAAGACCTGCCAACCAAGCTGTGATTAATTTATGTGAGAAAACTGTATATTAAAAATGTGAATGGGATTTTAAACCTCTCACTGAAATACATGCAGACTGCTTTGTGGCCAAGAAGACATACTTAATCACTGCATTAAAGCAATTCAAGATAAATTACTCTCACCACAGGTGGAGTTTAGATGTGAAAAGAGGAGACAAGGCACTTAATGCTAAGCTTGATCAAGCATAACATGTATTTATTAGCAGATACATTTTCTGTAAAGTAAGGTCCTAATTCAGCAAAGCCCTTAGAACACACATACATTACTCAGGGAATAACCTTAAAGTTGGCCAAATCCCATGTGGGAAGTGCCACTGCTCAGCATAAACAGCAGAGAAATTTGTGCTGAAATATGGCTTTGGGATCACTGTTAATATATCCATAGTGCATTGTATGGACATAAACACTGAACATGAGTGTTCAACAATGTTCTAAGCTATGGGGACAGAATAATTTTGCTGCCTGGGAGAGGGACTCACCTTCTCTTTAAGTTTGTGCAATACCTGGTGCCATAGGGCTCCACAGTATTAATTGTTAGAATTCTGTGAAACAGTAATTTGGGTAATAAACTTTTTTCAGCTATCATCCAGTCAGGAGGCTGGCTGTACTCCTTTTATAAATATATGTAACAGATAATGCTCAGAAATGCACTGAAATTGAAAGATAATGGAAACATCAGTACTTACAGTTTCTGGACCATGTTTCACCAAGTCCTTTTTTTCTCCAGCCAGCCTTTGACAAACTTCTTTGCCTTTAATGCACATCAAAGTACCACAAGGTTGAACTTCTAGATACCCACTGGAAATAGCCAAGTGATTTTATGAAGTTCACTTGTGCATTCACTTGTGGAATACTGTTATTCTCTGCTTCTGTCCAAAAGGAGAAGCATAAACTCTGGCAAGTAGCATAAACTGGCAAAGCAAAACCATAATAAACCAGGTAAAAAAATATTTTGAAGCATAATTTTTCCCCCCAAACATATCAATAACAGATCTGCCAGAGAATGTGAGGAACTAGCAGGCAACAGAGATGTAACAGAAGCACTCAGGGAAAACAGGAGAAAATGAAGTACTTTTTTTCCATCACTGTTCTTTTTGGCAGATTTTGAGGCGATTGCTACAACAAAACCTTTTTTAGGGGCATGATCAGAAAAAACATATTTGCAAAACTGAGTGTTTGTGGTTTTGGAGCCATTCAGTAAACTGTAGTGTACCTGACTGCCAGGACAATGTATTTTTCACCCCAGGGTTCAAAAGGAGCTTGGATCTGAAATCGCCAAACTATTAACTGTGCTTTGTAATTTATGGTTTGGAGTGAACTCAGTTCTGGAAGAATAGAAATTTTTAGATGAGACTTCAGAGAAAACAGAATGACAACCCAGTCAGTCTAACACATGGCTCACCACCACCATGTAATGAGAAGAAGCAGAAACTGCAAACCTGAAAGTGCTTTAAAAATGTCAGCAAAGTCAGCAAATATTGATAAAGAGGAGCTGGCTTATGTAGACTTTGTATAAACACTGGGACACTGGACTCCTCAGTCTTAATCAACTCCCTCTTGGAAGAAGACCAAGTTTGTACCAGCCTCTGCTATCTTCTTCCTCCTCTCCTCCCCCTGTCACTGTTCAGGCAGGGATGGGAATGATGACTCCAAGATCAGAAGGCAAAGAATGAAAACTTTAACAAGCAGTGTTCCTCTTTCATAACCAGGATTG